CTTGAGGACCTGCTGCCGCATGAAGGGCGGCACCGCCACGATCATCACGGCACCCAGCAGCGCGCACAGCAGCCCGAGGCCGCCCAGCGCCGCGGCCGCCCAGCCCGCCCGGGTGCGGCCGCCCATGTCCGCCCGCCACGCGGCTCCGTGTGCGCCCCGGGCTCGGGTCGGGGCTCCGGTCCGGGCAGCGGGCTCCGGGCTCCGGGTCCCGGCAGATGCTCGGGTCTGCGCCCGGGGCTCCGGTCCGGGCTCCGGTCCGGGCAGCGGTCCGGGCTCCGGTCCGGGCTCCGGGCTCTGGTCCGGGCAGCGGTCCGGGCAGCGGTCCGGGCGCAGAGGGCACAGGCGGCGGCGGGAGGAGCGGCCGGGCAGGTGGCCGCGCTTTAAGCCGCCGGGGCCGCGCCGCCCCCGGGCCGGGCCGCGGGTTCGGGTGGCGCCGGCGGGGGGCCGGCGGGGGGCGGGCCGGGGCGGGGCGCCGATCGGACGGTCCGAGGGGGCGGAGCCGCCCCGCCTCCGCGTCCCTTCGGGCGGCCCCGGCTCCGGCGGCCGTTGGGCCGGGCCCCGCCCCCTCGGCTTCCTGGTCGCCCTCCCCCGCCACCTGCTCCCGCCGCCCCTCCGGCCCTTCTCCAGCCTGGACCGGCCTCATGCTTCACGTTTTTTTGTAAAAAAGGGTTTTTTAAATAATTTTTTTAATTAAAAAAAATATATATTTTATTGATTTTTTACAGAGAGGAAGGGAGTGGGAGAGAGAGCTAGAAACATCGATGAGAGAGAATCATCGATCAGCTGCTTCCTGCACACCCCTTACTGGGGATGTGCCCGCAACCAAGGCACATGCCCTTGACCGGAATCGAACCCGGGACCTTTCAGTCCGCAGGCCGACGCTCTATCCACTGAGCCACACCGGTTTCGGCTTAAATAATTTTTTACTGTTCAAAGTGTTACATATGTCCTTCCCCCCATGGACCCCCCGCTGGGGATCGAGCGGGCAATCCCTGTAGGTGTCAAGGCCTGGAACTGAACCTGGGACCCTTCAGTCCACAGGCAGAGGGTCTGTCCACTGAGCCACCCGGGCCGGGGCCTGGTTCACTTTTATGGTTCACTTTTAGTGAGACTTTCCCGCGGGGGGGGAGGGGGGAGGGCCTGTGCACCCTCATCTCTGCCCCTCCCCTACTCTCTCTCTCTCCCCCACACACACAGACACACACACACACCAGACACACACACACACAGCCAGCCTGGGACTCCTGCCCCGGGCTCCTGACACCCTGGACTTGGAATTGCACCCCAAGATATCTGCCCGGCTCCTTCCTCCTGGGAGCAGGAGCCACCTTATCAGCAGGACCTCCTGCCACCCTGAGCCAAAGGGACTCCCGCCCGCCGCCCAGCCCGCCGCCCGCCGCCCTATCGCCCGCGCCACCCGGCCCGGCCCACGTGCGTCTGTGTTTTGCATTCGGACCTTGGTGCCCCCCCCCCAAGGCGGCATGCAGCCTGTGGACTAAAGGGTCTTGGGTTCGATTCCGGTCAAGGGCACAAGCCTCTAGCTCTACCAATGGATCTTAATTTTAATTTAAAAAAATATATATTTTATTGATTTTTTTCACAGAGAGGAAGAGAGAGGGATAGAGAGCTAGAAACATCGATGAGAGAGAAACATCGACCAGCCGCCTCCTGCACAGCCCCCACTGGGGATGTGCCTGCAACCAAGGAACATGCCCTGGACAGGAATCGAACCCGGGACCCTTCAGTCCGCAGGCCTCTGGATTGCCCCCCCCCCCCCTCTCTCTCTCTCTCTCTCTCTCTCTCTCTCTCGCTCGCTCTCTCACTCTCTCGCTCTCTAGTGCTCCACCCCTTCCACGCTCTAAAAATCAATGGGAGAAATATCCTTGGGTGAAGATTAAGAACAAATAAAACAAAAGGCCCGCTTAATAAAGAAAGACAGGCGAAAGGCTTGGGAAACTGAGCGCACGGGGAGTCATTACTCAGCAAACACCGAGGTCACGCCCGGCTCACGGGCGCACCCTTCACCAGGCCGCACACGGCCCCACACGCCAACACACCGCGTGGAATTCCGGAGGACGGTCAGCGGCGGCGGCCGGGGGGCACTGGCCAGGGACGGCCTCGTTGACGTGTTCCGTGTCCTCCTCGGGGGACTGACCGATTCCCTAGGAGCCGCCCCCGCCCCCGCCCCGAGCAAGGCCTCCGCTGGGACATCTCGCTCGTCTCCACGGGATTTATCCGGCCTCCAAGGTCGCAGCGTGCGTGCTGCTTACCCAGGACCCAAGGCCGCGCGAGGGCCGTCCTGTCACGCCACACGTCACCCCACCGGGACCAGCTGACCTCCGTGGGGGAGGCACTTCCGACGGGGGTGTCCGAGGAGGGGCGCCCGGGCCTGACGCAGAGAGAGGCCGCGGGAGGCTGGGGGGGGGGGGTTGCTGGGGGAAAGGGTACGTCTGTGTCACGTCCGACAATAAAGATTAATCAACACAAAACAGAACAACTGGGCCCGGCCTGTGTTCCCAGTGGTTAGCGTCGCCCCAGGAACCAGGGGGTCAGGGCCCGGGCCCGGCTGGGTGCGGGGCCCGGGGTGCGGGCTCACCCCAGCGGGGCGGGCGGGAGGCGGCCGATCCGGGAGTCTCTCGCCGAGGCTGTTCTCTCTCCCGTGCCCTCTCCCCTCCTCGCGGAGGCCAATGAAAACACGTTTTGAAAAAGAAGACAAAGAGCCGGCGGGCCTGGGGCCGGGCTTCCTGCCTCCACGGCCGCCGCCCCCGCACCAGGGGGCCCAGTGGGTTCACCGGGCCCCACGCCCGGCGGAGCAGGCGCCCCCGGCAGGTGGAGTCCTGGCTCCCTGCTGGCCGCCCCCCATCCCGGGGGCCACCCTCCCCCCATCCCGGGGGCCACCCTCCCCCCATCCCGGGGGCCACCCCCCATCCCGGGGGCCACCCTCCCCCCATCCCGGGGGCCACCCTCCCCCCATCCCGGGGGACACCCTCCCCCATCCCGGGGGACACCCTCCCCCATCCCGGGGGACACCCTCCCCCCATCCCGGGAGTCACCCTCCCCCCATCCCGGGAGTCACCCTCCCCCCATCCCGGGAGTCACCCCCCCCACCCCGGGGGCCACCCTCCCCCATCCCAGGAGTCACCCTCCCCCATCCCGGGAGTCACCCCCCCCATCCCGGGGGCCACCCTCCCCCATCCCGGGGGCCACCCTCCCCCCCCCCCGGGGGCCACCCCCCCCCCATCCCGGGGGACACCCTCCCCCATCCCGGGGGACACCCCCCCCCATCCCGGGAGTCACCCTCCCCCCATCCCGGGGGCCACCCTCCCCCATCCCGGGGGCCACCCTCCCCCCATCCCGGGGGCCACCCTCCCCCCATCCCGGGAGTCACCCTCCCCCATCCCGGGAGTCACCCTCCCCCCATCCCGGGGGCCACCCTCCCCCCATCCTGGGAGTCACCCTCCCCCCATCCCGGGAGTCACCCCCCCCCATCCCGGGGGACACCCTCCCCCCATCCCGGGGGACACCCTCCCCCCATCCCGGGGGCCACCCTCCCCCCATCCCGGGGGACACCCTCCATCCCAGGGGTCACCCCCCCTGCGGCTAGCCATCCCAGGTCCCGCGTGGAATCAGTGGAATCAGTGGAATTAGTCGCTCTGCCCCAGAGGCCTCACCGGCTGGTGGGGGCGGGGCCTGGCCGAGGTCCCTGGGAACTTGCCGGAGGAGGAGGAAGGAGGGAGGAAGGGGAAGTGAGCAGGAGGAAGACGCCGGCGGGAGGGGGTTGGACGGGCGCCCGGGACAGGCCCCGGGGAAGAGGAAGCATCGCCCGCGGCCACATCTGGCCCTGCCCCGGGCCAGGACGGGCGGGCGCTCGGGTCCCCTCGCTGTGGCCCTCGCCGCCTGAGCACTGCTGTGCGGCCGGAGCCGGGGAGGGCCCGGCCGGGAGGGGACACCGGGCCCAGGCCGGCGGGTCCGACCGGCCAGCGGAGAGGCGGGCTCGGCGGGACACACCCCACAGCCCGGAGAGCCCGGAGCCGAGCTGTCTGACTCCGAGGCCGCCCCGCGGGCACCGCGGACACCCGGCCGCCCAGGCGGAGGGGCCGAGGGGCCGAGACGCAGGAGGAACGGGGCCCTCATATTCTCCCAGGGTTTGGAATCGATGACACGTCGGAATCGGACACGGCGGGCGGAATAAAACACAGGATTAAAACTGATTCTGCTGGTTTCTCCTTTCCTTTTTAAAATCAGCCACTAGTTGTTGTTGTTTTTTTCATATTTGTATTGATTTCGGAGAGGGAGGGAGAGAGGGAAACATCCATGATGAGAGAGAATCATGGACCGGCTGCCTCCTGCACACCCCCTACTGGGGATGGAGCCCGCAACCAGGACCCTTGCCCTGACCGGGATCGAACCCTGACCTCCTGGGTCATAGGTCGAAGCACCACCACTGAGTCACGCCGGCCGGGCAGGGCGACTCCACTTAAGCGGGGGTGGTTGGGGAGGGCCTCTGTGAGAAGAAGGCATTTGAAGGCCGTGGCCATTGTGGCTCAGTGGTTAGAGCGGCAGCCCTCACACCGAAGGGCTGAGGGTTTGATTCCCGGTCAAGGGCAGGTACCTGGGTTGCAGGTTCAATCACACTGATGTTTTTGTTTTTGTTTTCTCTCCTCCCGTACCTCCATAAAAAAAAATTTAAAAAAAAATCGGTGGAAAAAATATCCTCAGATGAGGTTTAACAATAAGAACAAAGACCCAGAGGAAGTGCAGGACCGGAGCCCAGCGGAAACCTGGGAGAGCGTCCCAGGCCGTGCAAAGGCCCTGGGGCAGCACGGCCTGCGAGCCTCTCTAAGGGGCCGGTTCCTCCCGCGGAGGCCTTGGCTTCCCGCCCGCAGGAGGAAGTGTCCTCCCATCCGGTGACCATCGCTGAGGGCCCACCCCACCCCCGGGAGCCCGGCCCGGCTTGCCGTCCGCCCTGCGTCCCTCGCCTCCTCCTGTCTGAGTGCTGGCAGCTGAGGCTCACCTTTGCCCCCAGCTTTCGGGGCTTGAGACATCGCCTCTGTCAGGAGCTGAGCCTCCAACCAGCACAGGGGCTGTCAGTCCGGGACAAAGGTGCAGGCGCGGCCTGGCCCACGCAGGAACAGCAGCTGCTCCGCTCCGTCCGCCCCTCAGCGCACCGGCCCGGCGCCCAGGGCCCCGGCTCCGCGGCACCTCCTCATCGTTCATTCACTCATTCACTCATTCATTCATTCACTCACTCCTGCAGCAGAGACCTGCTACCACCCACTCTGTGCCAGGCCCACTGTGTGCTGGGGACAGGCCACAGCGTCATGAGCAACACAGACAGACTCCCAAGGTCCTGGCCTTCCATATATTTATACACACACACACA